CAATAAAAAGTAACTGTTGAGTCCCTTACCCTTTCCAAGGCCAGGTAAGGGTGGCGACAAAAAGAGGGGATATAAACATAACAATTCAGGTTTGATAAGATCAAGGTGGAAAACTTGAGCAGATCAAGGGACTAGTATCATCTCATGGAGAACTATACCCTACTACTGTCACCATAACTTGGTAGTGCAATGTCAGGAACCTGACTGAAAACAAGGCAAATGAGGAGCGTGTACTTTGTTCTTGGGCTGCAGATCCCATCAATCCTAGCAATCACAGATAATGGCGATGCATGAAAAAAATTGAAGTCCAACATTGTTTGCATGCCTGGTTGATTCCTGGCGTTATTTGCAAGGATAACACTGCTTTTGGGGAACTCCCACAAGCAGGCCCATAGCCAGGATTTTGATTTGGGGGGGGGGGGGGGGGGGGTGAGTTTGATGGGGGGGCGGGCTCAGGATCTACCCTAGCAAACCTGCAAATACCAGATCCTGTGGGTTATATCTCAAAGGAAGAAACTAGCGAAACCCCCACACATCAACAGGTGACTTGAAGGTACAAATACACATACAGTTGTATTGTGGAAATTGACCACAGCAAGAGAGAAGGGGCAGCAGAGGGCATGAAAATAGGTTGGGGGCTGCTTGTGACTAGTGTGGCTCATTCCTCCATAAGATAAATGCATTGAAGCGGAGGGCCCTTCCACATAGCCAAATAACTCAGAAGATCAAGGTAGCTCATCCACCATCTCTGTTTTGAACTGGATTATCTGAGTTAACACTGCCATATAATCCAGTTCAGTGTGGATTTGGTGTGGAAGGAGCCTAAGACTCTTCAGTGGGTGCTGGTCATGATGATTGTGTATGTTGTTTTCAGAAACAAAAGTAGCACGTATCTGACAATTGGTTGGAAGGCAAACAGTGTTGTCCTCATATTCTCCTTATGAGTTCTCCTTAGACAACTGGTTGTTCACAATGGCAAACATGGTGTCAGACTATACAGGGCTTTGGTCAGATCGAGACACTCTCTTGATATCATTGCTTGATATGAAGGGCATGCTTCCTTCTCTATTTCTATTAATTTTGAATGGTCAACTTTTTTTTCTTATTAGTCAGACTTTTGAGTTTTTAATTGCTTTGCAAGGCAAATTCGCAAGAGAAGCTGCCTATGATTCCACATTGCCTCATCTCTATGCTGGGAAAAGGTGTGATCTGCTGAATTTCTTTTTGATGAACAGCAATTAAAAGGTACATTAGAACTACCAGGTATTCATTGAATGCACTTATTACCAGAGCATTTTGTTTTTTCAAAGTACATACAGTTGGTGTTATGTGCTGAATTTTCTACCTAATTGTACTTATTCTACATATCATTTGCCTTCCTTACCTGGGAACTGAGTGTGCTAACAGAACAAAATATTATTTTTGGGCGAGGCATTGCAATAAAGAAAAAAATGAGAGAAGAAATCATGATTTATATGCAACAGAAACAGAATCTTGGGTAGGTTTTTTTAATCAAAGCCTCTGATGCTGAATTAGCATATACCAATGGATCCATTTTTATTTCTGCCCATGGGAGTTCCACTCAAAATAAACCTGCTAGTGGAAAGGTGGGGAGATGATTTCCTCTTATACTTCTCCCCTGGAATATCCATCTCTACTTCTCCCATTTTTCAAAATGTTTCTCTAATATCATTGACCATATAGGTGATGGGTGGCATAGGGAAAACAGAAATGGTGGGAATTATGCAGCTTAAGGGCCATATGTAGCCCTTGAGGGCGACAAACTGTCACATACCTACATTTAAACCCACATCTTTGCAAATGTGTTTTACAGTTTTGAAGCCATTTAGTAGCTATAAATGAAATGTGTCTTGAGAGTGTATAGTTTTATTTGCCTATTCACCTTCTTACTTTGAAAACTTCCACTCAGGAGAAAGTATGATAATCTCGGTCAGTAAATCCAATACGGCTCATAGGTCATCCTAATCTGGCCTTCGGATTCTGACCTGAAGAATGCTTGCTCTTTATTCAACTTTGTTCTTAGAGGCTGAGACTATGGAATAAGTGAGAGTCTTTTTTATACTACTCACTTGAGAAAGCAAGAAGCAGACATGGAAATCCTTTTGTTATCTCCAGTCAGTGACTACAGTTGACCATGGGATTCCACTTCACCTTTCATACCATATTTGGAAACATAAGCAGAGTAGGAGGAAGTTCCCTGTTATCTCTGGAATCATTGATCAGAGATAACAAAGTGACTTCCCATCAATTGAAAAATCTCACAAGTCTAGGGTTCCATAGCATTGTTTTTAATTGAGATCCCCTCGCAAATAACCTGCCCCTCTTTTTATCTCACCCGAGTTTTTAATCATTTTATTCTGCACCTGTGGTCCACCCATTGTCACTGTGATTGTAATTTTATATTGCTAATGTATTTATATGTTTTTTCTTTTATTATTATGTAATTATGATATTGTTTTGTGTTTTTGGTTTTACTCTGTTGTAATTTGTTATTTGGGCTTGGCCTCATGTAAGCCGCCCCGAGTCCCCGTTGGGGGAGATGGTGGCGGGGTATAAATAAAGATTATTATTATTATTATTATTATTATTATTATTATTATTATTATCGAGTCATGGCAGTTAAAGTGGTGTTGAATAGCTTTAATTTTACAGAATAGATACATCTTAAGTGAGGATATTTGTTTAAAAAACAGAGGGGTGAAGGTAGGAATTATTCTAAGGTAGTGCTGGACACATTTTATGCCATAGGAGAATAAAATGCATAGTAGGAAATAAGTTTTTATGCAGTGGGTAATATGGCATCAATCAGGAACAAACTTAGTTCTTAAAACAAAAAGAAAAGAAAATAACTGTTACTTTTCAATTCTCAGTCTTATATTAATAGGGCCATTAGGGAGTCAACAACCTGACTGCTTCATCTATGACCAAGAAGGATACTTTCAGGAAAATGTACCCTTCTCTTTTGGATTCAACTGTGTTGTTCATGCTTTGTAAATTCTATCTAACACTCCTTTTGCATCAAAGCTATAGGGTTCACTGCCACCTAAAACTATCACTTGTCATCACCAGTTTTAAAATAACTTCCACTATTACATAACTTTTGTCTATTCTGGTTTGGTCTACAGTACCACCAGGCTTCAGTGATAGTGCCAAAGTATTTTCAGTCAGTACAGATATATTTTCTGCAGAGCTCTGCATAGTCATGCAAAATGACACGTGGTCCTAGGCAGATCAAGGATAAATACTCTCTGGTTTCAGGCCTCTAAGGGCCCTTCCACACAGCCACATAACCTAGAATATCAAGGCAGTTGTGAGTGTGTTATGAGATTCCACGCTGCCATATATTCCAGTTCAAAGCAAATAATGTGGGATTTTATTCAGCTGTGTCAAAGGGGCTTGATTTTTTCTTTCTTTCCTTCTTTTTCTTTCTTTTTCTGCAATGTGAGGGATACAGAATAAACTAAGAATAAAGAGTGGAGGCATGAGAAGTGATGGAAAACTGGGATCCTTTGGCTGCTGCTGCCTTCAGCAACAACATCTCAGAATACTTCCGTTTATTCACAACAGAGATGTTCTTTCTGGAACCAGCACAGGCTTGCTGTTCTGTTATGAAACATGATGGGTCAAAAATAAACAGCCAGACACAATCTTATGTAGCATTTGGCTTCTGCACAGTAGTGTCTGCTTTGCCCCTCTGGCTCAAGCAGGTCATGAGGATCTATCTCTAAAAATAGTAGAAGGCAGCTCATATCAAGGCAAGATGACTAGGGGCAGAAAGATTATAGATACTCTGTGATAGCCACCATTTTTTGCCTGAGCTCAACTAAGTAGCCAGCTCCTAGGATCATCTGCAACGTACACATCTCATTAGTTATTAAAATATTCAAGGAGTGTGGGTTGCAAGTAGAACCATTATTACAAGATCAAAATATTTTAAGAGCAAAAATAATTCAAATGGATTTAAAACATGCTAAACAAATTATAGAAATTGAAAGTAGGTCTAGTACTAAACAATTTAAAATCACAAGTAGGAATATTTTGTAGTGAAGGAATTGGTCCCCAAGACATTTAGTGATTAGCCATGTTTAATTTGGTGCCTAATGAAATCCAACACTGAGGCTACTGAAGCCTTCAAGGAGAGGTCATTCCCCAATTGGGGTGCCACAGCTGAGAAGGCCCTATTTCTCCCATGTCTTCAGTGTATTGACCTGTGGTGAGACAGAGGAAGGTCCTTTCCTTGGGCAGGCATGTTGTAGTGTTTTGGCGAGCATTGTATTTGAAACTTGCTCAACTTTACCATACTGTTATCCTTCTAGTAGCTCCTGTCAAATACCCCCTTTATATATTACTGGTGCTAGCATATTTTTGTGATTTATAAATTCTAAGCAGTTTACAAAAATAGACAAATGAATTCTGTTGCTGGATAAAACTGATAAAATACCTATAGGAGTGAATTGACATAAAAGGAGCAAGGAAATTAAAGGGGAATGCAAAGTCAAAGGGTGTAGCTTCATAATGGTAGGGACTGTGGCTCTTTTCACAGTAGGTAAAACATATGGATATTCTTCCAAATCTAGAAGCAACCTGAATTAGGATAAAATCATATGTACACTTCATTAGTATGTTGTGTTTTAAACTGATAATTGCATCTCTAGCTTTCTATGTTCTCCTTAGACTATTGATTGTGAACCTTTTAGAGATGGAGTGCCCAAAGTCAGGTGATGCGCTGCATGCTCCTTCTGGCACGTGTGCTATAGGTTCGCCACCACTACCCTATACCTGGTCAATTTGGTTTGGTGATGCCTTTGGGTGAACCAATATGAGAATTAAGAAATTGAAGAAAGCTCCATTTCATCTGTAGGTGACCTATTTTCACATAAGTGCTTCAATGCCATATCTGCAGTTTAATTCAACTCGTTTTAATTGTAAGAAAATTCATTGTTTTGCATTTCTTAACATAAAATACCTCAAGCAAAGGATTTGTTTTGTAAAAAAAGAGTTTATTATCCACAAGGAAGAGCAATAGGAAAAAATTGTTTTCCACATACTGTTTTGTTTCAAAACAGAGTCTACAAGGACATATTCAGCACCAAACTAAAAAAAGAAGAAAATAAAAAGGAAAATATAATACAAACAGCCAATGAATATAATCTATAAAGCAAACATTAAATATTGCACTTTGTTTTTTTCTAACATTTTGGATTTTATTTACCTGCCCCCCCCCCTTATTTGTTTAAAATTATATTTTCAAATACTGGACTACAGTTCTGAACCTCATATTTTACAATGTCCAGCAATTGACCAATATTTTCAGAAATCAGAGATAACAGTAATGCCACAAAAGAGTAAATTTTTGTAAGAGCTATTTTTTTCATAGTGTTTACAACTTTTAGTCTGATCACAAAATTATTGTGATGTAATGCCAATTACTACAATATTGGTCAATCCTGCTTCATATGGAAACATCCATTGTGTGGTGATAAATGTAATGCTATGCGTAACAGCAATTGTTCCCTAGTTGGTTGAAACAAAAAAACAGAACCCCCTTTAAACGAAAGACACCACCAAATGCCCTGTTATGCCACTTTCTCACTAAAACATTTTTTAAAAAATTCTGCGGAAGAGGGACATTCACAAAATTGCTCGAAAAGATGCAAAAAAAATGTTCCATCATTCTGTTATCTTGTTATCCAGTATATGTAGTTAGCTTGCTGAAGGCTGAACTCTTTTAAGTGAATCACTTAAAACGTGACTCATTTGTATACTGTTTATTCACCCTGTTATTGTTCAAACATGGATTTCTGTCCATGTTTTCTTAAAGGCCACTTATGGAAAAGCCTATCCTGTTGTTTGGAAGCCTCAACAGCAAGGAAGATTTGAATTAGAGGGTTTCCAGCCCAGAGAAAGCAACCTTTACATTACTCTGGTTATCACAGTGGGTCAACTAACCCAAGTTGTCACTTGGAACATTAGCATGGCTGATTTTGATAGGAATCAGTCACAAGTTTCTTTCTGAAGAGAACAGTTGTGCGTCAATGAATATCTTTAATGCCGAAATGCTAGCATTTGAGCCAAAAGCCCCAACACCCATCATCCACTGAATCCTTGTAATGCAGGCTGAATCCTGCTCTGAATTCCAAAATTAAAGTAGTTCTCTGCCAATTACTAATGGCTACTAACTTTGTTCTGTGTGATTCTTCCGTCTAGGAGGGAATGCAATCTGAATAGTGCTCACGGGGATTTTCTTTTTGAAAGCTATTTTCTTCTTATCTTTTAAGACATAATAATGTCTATTTCAGAGAAAGCTCCCTCTATCCCTGATTAAAAGAACACTACAGATATTCCATGCAAGCAAGTGGTTATAGGATACCTATGTAAAAAAATAAATTCACTTTTCCCTATTCACCCCAATTGCAAAGAAACTCCTACATGAACCACACACAACTTTTCTCCAGTAACTCTTGGCAGATAAAATGTTGGGCGCTAAGCTCTTGCGGCTCTTCTAAATACTCTTCATTTGTCCACTTTTCTTATTGGTGATGGTGTTTTGTGAAGATAATAGGATGTATTAATTTGTGTATGTCCCTTTTCCAAGTCCCCCATTCAAATAAAACAATGAAATAACAAAAACAGGAAGAGGAAGAAAAAAAAACTCAGCAGTGCAACATAAACACAAATAGCATTTCAACATTTTGGCAAGTGATGAGTTCACCTGAGATTAAGTGATTTTAGGCAGTCTGTAACAAAATTCTTCTTTGTGGTAATAGTAGAAAGGCAACAAATTCTTAAAAAGGAATCAAGAATGTATATAATCTTGACAAAGACTCCTATTGGTTTCCTCTTTCTGTTCATTTTCGCCTCACATATCTGTTGCTTGTCTACTACAGTAGGCTGCAAAACATACAGCAAGGATTGGCTTGAAGGCATTTGATGTTTGTAATAAATCCACAACAGGATCCAAGCTGAAGAGGTGATGCATGAATCAGTCTTACTGGGACAATTCTGAGCATATGCAGGAAAGTCCAGACTATATTGTTTGTTTGTTTTTTTCTAAATAAAAAAAATCAGTGCATTTGTCATAAAGTTTTAAAAGCTTTCTTTCGCTCCTTGTTGTGCGGACCACAAACAGGTTAGAAGGGGTTAACAACAGTCCAACATAAATGAGAAAAAGCTGTAGTGACACTGAACCGCACAACAAAAGCATTGAGCATGTGCAAATTTTCAAATCAAAAGAGGAAGTTATCCCCCTTGAAACACGGTGAGTGTTTTGACACACGAGTGTAGGCTATTAAGGCTGCTCTTAGTATGTGCCAGTATACAACAGGGAGGGAAACTCAGATCTTCAAGCATGAAGAGCAGTCCTATGATGTTTGCTGTAGGCTTCAAAAGCATAATCACAGGTTGTTTCATTATTTCACCTTTCCTTTTAGGCAACACCTTCCTTGTAAAGTGTGTCTCCGTGGCTGCCTTTATCCTCAACATGGTGAAAATGCAATCCTGACCCAAACCAACTTTTAGGAAGCATTCTTTCAGCGAGAGGGGCAGGATGGTGTGTCATCTGAGGGCTGATCTGGGTTTGGATCAATCTGGGAAAATAGGAAAAAAACCAAGGGATTAATGGTTTTTCTAATACAAAAACAAGTGATTAAAAGGACAACATTACTTGAAAATACTGAGATACAGTAATATTTTATCATAAAACTACAATAGTATTATACTCCCATACCGTTTTGCTTTTTATTATTATGCTGTTTAATAATTCTTGCTAAATTACAATACATTAAGAAAAGAACAGGAAAAAAACTTGTCAACTCCTGTTTATGTATGGAATATTTTATCAAAAACCATCACATGTATCAGTGTAAAGAACTATAAGCAACACAATGCAACATAGGATTCCACCATCTTTTGTGCAAAGAACTGGGAGGTCAAGTACACTAAGGGTCCCCCCCCCCCCCAAGTTGCTAACTTGAAAATCGCATGAAGTGGGATATTTGTTTTAAACTATGTTTATAGTAATCTCAGGAAAAATAAAAGCAGCTTGTACAGATATTTGCCACTTTTTAATTGTAACTTAGTTTATAGCTTAAACACATAAGGAAGCAAAGCTTGATCATAGAATGAACACTATGCAAGTATTTACTCTAACTATGACAGAAAAATATGTGCTAATTTAACAGTCTAATCTTAACCATGCTGACTCAAATTCCTATTCATTTCATGTACTTCTACTGAATAATTAGAATTGCAGCCTGGGGAAAATGGGCATGTTTCTGCTTTCCTGTCTTCTCCGAAGAACCCAAAGGATGTTTTCCAACCATACAAATCAGGTTTTGGGATACAAAAGAGGGCTGAGGAGAGAAAAACAACCCCTCCCGTTTTCTCATGATTCTGTAAGCAAAAAAGCAAGATCATTTAGGATGATCTGTAGATTCTATCAGCTGATCACATTGTTTTAGGACCTCTCACAGGAAAGTGCAAGCATGCTCTAACTTTACAATGGAAAGTGAGGCTTAACTGTGGCCGTATAAATCTTACCTCAGAATAAAGTGGTGGAGGCAGAAATCTGAATTCCTGGATGTAGGCAAACAATGGTCCTTGAAGCGCTCTTTCAAAGTCGTCGCATACAGCTGCAGGTGCTAGGCTGGACTGTCTTTGCTCCTCAGTGACCACTTCTGCATAGCTAGGAGGTGCTGAAGGTAAAAGTACACGCAGTTCGAACAATGTTCTTATGCATGTCAAGATATACAACATGACAAATATATTAAAGTTTAGTTATGGTGATTTGCACAAGGTAGATCTCAGAAAGGCTCAACTGCTGCTGGTATTTCAATTTTAACTGTTCTGGGCAGTCCTGGCAAGTTACAGTCAGACTCTAAAACAGGTCTACCAACAGATTTGACCATACATCTGCATATCTACATTCTTTTTCATGGCTCTGTTGGGAGGAGGCTAAATACTGACCTCTCTGAATCTAGGTAAGAAGTATTTTGTTAATTTAATTGTGAAGCACCATGTACTGTGATGGTGCTAAACAAATAAATAAATATGTGTAAATAGTTAATAGACGATTCTGTCCACAAAGCACTTATGCTCTGAGACATCTCTATTCTGCCTGTAAATCACTGTAATTGACATACTGGACTGGGACATTAGAGATATAGACCCAAGTCCTGGCTGAGCCATAAAATCCTTTCTCAACCCAACTTTCCTCTCAAAATTGTTGTGATAAAACGGCCAAGAGGAATAACCACATATATTCCTTGAACTCAGTGAAATGTAGATTAAATTAATATGTTTTTAATTATTCAACAAATTAAGCAGCAGCTCAAAAATGTTCAGGTTTTGCATGTGTTTTCCCCCCAAGGATATTTATATTCAATGTCTCCCTCATGGAAATATAATGTGGAGAGTCTTGGATGATTTCCTTGAGTATTGTTTGCATAAAAGGTTCATCTAGGTCAGTGGTTCTCAACCTGTAGGTTCCCAAATGTTTTGGCCTTTAATTCCCAGAAATCCTAACTGCTCGTAAACTGGCTGGAATTTCTGGGAGTTGTAGTCCAAAACACTCAGGGACCCACAGGTTAATAACCACTAATCTAGGTTCATACTGCTAAGATGCTAATAGAATTACAGACCTAGGGAGTAAACATTATGCGCTCTGTATGATAAAACTTACCTTCTGGTCTTTCAGGCAGTGTCAGACCAAGCCAATTCATATTCATGCTACATTGGCTGCTCACGCTTGATGTTCTGCTGCCAAATGGGTGTAAAGGAATAGTACCAATGACAAGTGGTAGATTAAGAAACAAGTCCATTGCACCTGGAATATCCACATATACCTAAAATATAAGCAAGAAGAAGTTGTTAAAATCTGAATCAGCCCCTCTCCCCACAAACAAACGAAAAATGAGTGCTGGTGCTAAAGATTGACATTTTGAAACACTTCCTTACCATTAGTGAATATTCCACACGGATTATGCTACAATCAAGGATGGAGGGGGAGACGGGTGGAATCTTTAACTGTTTGCCATTCCAGGTTTCTGTTTTTCCTGATGAGAGGGACTCTCCACGCAAGTTGGCAACCAGCTGTTTTACTTCCTTCATTTTCCCTTTGGCATAGAATGCCTGTGTTTGATAAATGGCGGCTTTTGGCACCACCATTCGGGAAGAACAGTTCTCAATCTCCGCAAAGATCTGAATTGATTCACCTTGAAAAACACAACACAAAACACCCATGTTAGATAAAAACAAAAGTATTCCTCCTACACTGTAATCTTAAAATTATGTTTTTTATTTTTTTCTAAATTGTTTTTAACTCTCTGCTCTTAATACAAGAGTTGTTCAATTGTTTTTAACTTCTGTAATATTACATTTGAGCTAATTTCGATATTAAATTATTTTAAGTTGCCTTGGATCTCATGGTGTGAGAAAAGCAGTGTATAAACTGAATAAATAAATAAATTCAAATAATAGTGCAAGATATGACATTCTTCTTGAGAATTTGGGCAATGATGAAAACATTCAGGATCAACCCTATCAAGATTAGGAGAAGATCTGCAACTTCATATTATCCATGACAGCTGCCAAACTCATATTAGTAGAAGTCTGAACTGTGCTGTATATACAACCCATACATTAATGCAGTTCAACAAAACATATACAGATTTTTATTTATTTATAATTCAAACATATATGCCACCACTCCCCTGGGGCTTGGAGCGGCTTACAAGAACAGGTTAAAATCTAATACAATTTAAAAACAATTTAAAACAATTTAAAAACAACAATATCAGAGATCAAAGGCCTGTCGAAACAGCTATGTCTTACATGTCTTACATGCCCTGCGGATGAGCTGGCATTCAGGACATTATTTTACTAAATCATTTTTAAATAACCCACCTATGACTACTTTAAACTGCAACCATACACATATACTGAGAAAGCAAGATAAATGACAGAAAGAATGAACACGCACTGTTTCTTTTACATACCTGGGGTATAGCCCTTCCTTTCAATTTTGGCACTTAAGGAAATTGGGCCTGAGGTACAAAACCAGCAACACAGAGTCTTTTCTTTTGTGCCTGCTTGGGGTGACTGAAAGGAAAACAGAAGAGAGATATTCACAATGACATTTTTAGCTTTGGAGATATTAGCTAGCTCTAAAGACTGTAGAGTTTAGTCTTTTAATGAGTGTAATTAGAAAAGAGGACAAAAAGTATGAAGAATCTTAGAAATGTGATATTTTTCTTAAGAGTTTGGAATGATGGTTGCTGCTTCCCTCTTTGTGAATTATCATAGTCAGTCTGGAGTAGCAGCTATAAGCACAGGTTTGGACACTGACACCTGCTTGGTTGTCAGATCAATGCTAGTTACTGCTATAATTGAAAAAGGAAGTACCATAATACTCCAGGATAATGTGTTGTCTCCCATACACACTTACTATGAGATCAAATTATATAAACACTATTTTAGCATTAATTCAAAAGACAAAACTATTGTACAGAGAAAACTCTAAGCTGTCTACAGTTCTCTCACTGAACTCTGTACCTAAGTTTGTTGGAAAAAGTTGTCACATAATAATAATAATAATAATAATAATAATAATAATAATAATAATAATAGTGTATGCTTTATAGGTTCAAGGCATGGCATCTCCAGGTCATTATGTAAAAGACTCCTGTCTAAAAGGGTGGACAGTAACTGATGGTGTGTATAGACAGCATTAAAAATAAGATAGTTTTCTACTGCAGGGAGGATCATAGGTAACCTTTATGTGATAGGTAAACAAAAGATACAATGATGTTTGGAAAGTAACAGGACAAATAGACCTGCAGCATGATTTTAATCAAGTTTATTTCAATATAGATGCCATTCTTTTTAATACTTGTGCCTGAATCTTTATAACTAAGAGTACAGTTTAGAACACAAAAAGTGCAATAGATTTTAACTTAAAGCCAAGTTCACAAGCTAAGTAGACTAGAAATCTTGGTTTAAATCTACAGTTCTAAACAAAAAGTACTGCTGAGTTCTGTAAATGTTTATTCAATATGAAATTCCACGGTGTTTGATCAGGTTTACTCCCATAATGTTTACATATCTGGGAATAAGCTTCACTAAATTCAGTGATTTTTCCTTCCAAATACACATGCAATCAATTAGGCTGCCTTGTTGCAATGGCAGCTAAATATTTGTATTTTGATAAATGTAAATTGTTTCTAAATCAGTAGTTTGTGGGGTCATGGAATTAAGTGGTGAAAGTATGCTTTTGCTACATATTGTAAAACAATAAACTAGTTTTCAAAGGAAATCCAAACAAATTCCTTGAAATTTTAATTAATTTCAGTAATACTTTCATCAAATATGCTTTGTTTAAAAACATAGCCTTAATCTAGAATCCTAAAAATTAGGTGTGGCTCCAATGAGCATTTACTTTGTGAAGTAATATCCCTAATTGTTGAATATCAACATTTCCTTAGATTTCAGCTGTCCCTACTTACATCTTTCAACACCCACCCCACCCAATTATGTTATTCTTGTTGTCTTACATGAAATGTAGATTAAGGACTTTGCCCAAACTCTCAAAAAGCAACAGAAACATTTCTACTGATTTTTGTGGGTTTGAGGATGAGGTCCCCTAGGCCTTACCCTGTAACATGCCCTTTTAGCCAGAAGCAAAAGAACCCTGTTTCAATGGACGTTTCCTTAAGTAATTCATTTTCACATATTTTAATTCACATATTTTAATTTGAAAAACCAAGGTTGAATATATGGTTTTTAGATCAAATTGAACAAAAAACTTATTAAGTATTTAATTATCAATATAAAAATTTATGATAACATACAGCAGTATGATCATTTCTCCCCATTTGATATATAAGTTATCGATATAGTAGAACAATGAATAATGCACTGCAGTACAATTTCTTTTTTCATTGCTTTATCAAGCTGCAAATTCTCAAGCTGAAATTTCTTACAAGACTAGAACTGTTCCATATAAGAGTAAGTTAATATTTACATGAACAGTTTAAATTGTACTACTTTAAAAACAAGCAGCCTGAAAGTACTGGTTAAATTATGAGACATTATGGCACCACTTACTAATTGCTGGGTCATTATATTCTTATACTTTAAATATTTCATTATACTGAATTGTCATTACATGTTTTGATATTTCAGATAACATGTATTGCTATTTTTTATATACTAGGAAAAAAGAATGAGTAATTCTGTCAATTCTTACCAGTAATGAAGGAGTGTTGATATCTATATGTTCAAAGACTGTAAATTCCTTCTTTAATTTTACTGGTAGAAGCCAAGGCCTGTGCAATTCTGCTTTCACCCAATAGCGCACACTGCCATGTCTGCCTTCAAATGAGGTAGCAAGTGGTCTGTTCAGGACACAAAGGTCAACACTAAATAAGTCTCTCCGTTTCTCTTTTTTGAACATTAAGTATACACTCAATTCAGGTAATAATTAATAAGTTGTACTGTACTGTTAATGCATCATAGTATGCAGTTGAGGATAATTTGTTCGTAGGATTTTCAAGTTCAATTAGTTTGGGAGAAATATCTCTGTATTTAAAATTAAACTGCTCAGTAGATTTCAAAATATGAATGTATATGTATCGGAATTGCATTGTAATATGCTACAAAGGATAGATTAGCACAGTCCACAACTTAGTTAAGCTGGTGTACTTGGATTCCCACTAGTTAGTCCCACTGAACTGAATGGAAGCTAAACTCGCTTAAATTCAAGTACTCCAGTTTAACCACATTGAGTATCTGGCCAAGAGGTACTTTAATCTTACCAGAGGTCACTTTTTATATCAGCGGAACAGGGAAAACAGGAATAGTGTAGTGAGGAAAACAGATTTATTTGAAATAACTCGCTTCCAAAGGGGTCCACATTTTATATGACCAGGATGAAAGTAAAGAAAACTTGCTGTTAACAGAGGTTTTCAAGATCAGAATTATGTCTGCAGGGGATAATGCTTCAATTTTGTTAGCCTTTACTCTTTTTCTTAGTAGTCACACATGAGAAAGGCATTTACTAAAGGTAAAGGTTTCCCCTGACATTAAGTCTAGTGGTGTCCGACTCTGGAAGAGTGGTGCTCATCTTAATTTCTAAGCTGAAGAGCCGCCGTTGTCTGTAGACACCTCCAAGGTCATGTGGCTGGCATGACTGCATGGAGTGCAGTTACCACCTTCATATGAAGGCAGTACCTATTGATCTACTCACATTTGCATGTTTTCGAACTGCTAGGTTGGCAAAAACTGGGCCTAACAGCGGGAGATCACCCCACTCTCTGGATTCGAACCGCCAACCTTTCGGTCAGCAAGTTCAATAGTGCAGCGGTTTAACCCGCTGTGCCACCAGGGGTGGGCTGAAAGACATTTAGACACATACATTACTTTAATGGTATATTTGTACATAGAATTAAAGCTGCTTCTCAAAACCTTCAAAGTAAACAGCAGCCGTTTATGTTTTCTGGTCTCCTACTGAATATAACTGAAGCTCTGGTTAGCCAGAATTAACTCTTGACACTCCTTTATGCTATTACTGTACCTAAAACATTGGAATTAAAATTACAGTTGTTTTGAATGTCTCACACTGGAGCAATGTCTGTTTTCTTATCTTGGTTAACATATACAGCCTCGTTTCTGAAAAACTGCATTGCTCACATCCATCTTTCCTGATCACATCCTGCAAGTGACCACTTCTTACATAAGTTTGCATAAATGTTTCAGTGAATCCCATGTTTGAATCCTTAATGGAAGAGAGTTCACTCTAATCAATCTTAAAACTCAGGAGGGCTGTATTCTCCTGCTTTTGAACTAATAGTTTCTGCTCCTCCCATCCATCTGCTTAATTCCAAACTTCCCTAAATAATCACTGCCCTACAACTGTAGTCTAAACTACCTTTATTTAACATTTCCCTCATACTCATTCTGTTCAATTTATTCTGATTTATTATGCCTTTCTGGCAGATCTGTTTCGACATGCTCCATTGAAGCAACCAGATCTCACCTGAAATTCAGCAGGATATCATGGCAGTAGCTTGCAAAGGTCTAATGATCAATTCTCTGTGCCCATTTGTAATAAGAAAAGCAAGCTATGTGCACAGAGCAGATGTGATATTCTAGATGTTTAAGGAGGTTTAAAGGGATTTAATAACAGGGTTTTAAAAGAAGGGCAGGAGCTGGCCTTGATTTTTCCTCTCTGAATCAAAGCAACCTCTAAGAGTTGAATTAGGACAATGTCCCTGTAGCATATTCAAATGCAATCCCTGTGACCATTGAAAAGGGTTTTTTCTGTCCACTGCCCCATTTCTACAGATGAGCTCTCTGTCTACAGATCTTCTGCCAGTGTGTTCTTTGATAGTCTTTTTGCATAGCTCAGGTATAGCATATACTTACGTCTGTGGAAGCTCAAAGCTGAATGCATATTCATGCCGTCCTGAATGAATGATGTGGAGGCCTTCTTCAGAATTATCGTCATCTAGGAGGGAAAAACCCAATATGCTATTCCACCTGTAAACATTATACACATATCATAATATATTATAAAGGATAACATTCATAATATTAACTAAGAAAGTTAATATCATAAGGGAGGGGAGAAGCTGCATTTCACTTGTGTAGCTCCACTGACCTTAATAGCTGGCAATTTAATGAATTCCCAATAAGAATTTTACCTTGACCACATTAGCAATTCTTGGTATACAGGCAGTTCGCAAGTTACAAACAAGATAGGTTCTGTAGGTTTGTTCTTAAGCTGAATTTTTAAGTCAGAACAGGTACATTTTTAAATTTAATTAATCCAAATGGATACTTTTAAAGCTTTGGCTAGCCTAAGGAAGGGTTAACACTCTGTGGGGTTAATTTTGCTGTCTGTGCCTGTTCAGAAGATTTCACCTCATTTTCTGTCCCTGTGATCATTGCCATTTTGGAAAAAAATGGCTTGTTGTGGAAACATGGATTGGTGATAAAGCTTCAGTGGAGACACCTTTTTCCCATGATAATAACTTTTTCAGGAATTAATTTCCCTTCTGAGGCATAAATTCCTCTCATTTCCTGTTGTCTCACCCCCATTCCTAACTATGAGTAGTGTGTAACTTAGGAACTGCTTGTATCTTTAAATTCAGAAGGGAAGTAGCAGTAGTATTCAATCCTTTCATTCCCCCTTCCCTCCATTTCCTTGCCTTCTATCTAAATGCAGGTAATGGCGCTCCACGAAGTCATGCCAACCACATGACCTTGGAGGTGTCTATGGACAAGAACGGCTCTTTGGCTTAAAAATGGAGATGAGCACCAACCCCCAGAGTTCGACATGACTGGACTTAATGTCAGGGGAAAACCTTTACCTAAATGCAGATATAAGCTATTCTGGGGCAAAACCGATATCTTTCATGTATATAGCAATGTGATCACTAATCTATTTTGTAAAAGCCATTTATCAGTGTTTACTTAGCAGCACAATTCAAAACAATACTGATTCGCTGCTAACCATGTTATTAAGTCCTAAGAAAGCTAATATGCTACACCATTGTAAAATATTTAGGGCAGGGTGCTAACAAAAAGTCAGACCATCTAATACAAAACTTCCTTGTGGTCTGAAGGATACTTGGAAAGTATCAAGCAACTGAATACTGTGACACACTGTAAAATCTCTACACAGTAATTGAAAATACCAGAAAGCTTTTCTTTGGTTTGACTTTCAGGTTTTCTTTAAAGTGCAACCTTCCCAGTCCTTTGAATTGTTAATTGTTATCATTTTAAATATGCAGAAAAGCAGTTTAGGTAGACATGAACTTGGGGAGGCATGGCAACCTTTGGCCCTTCAGGACTTCAACTCCCACTGTTCCTAACAGCCTACCGTCAACTTGGCAGGAGGGCTGAAGTTTGCTTATGCCTGATCTTGGGTCTACTCAGTGCCTTAAATAGGCCTCTTTTGGGTAATGCATTACTTTGGAGTTGGATTTGCTGCTCTCTCTAAGCATCTCCAGCGGGCATCAGCCACCACTGGTATCCCAGAAAGCTTAGCCCAAAGTCCTATAAAACTCAAATGCATCTCCTTGAGGGTGGTGAGGGGAAATTTAAAACCAAGCTATACCAAGCTAATTGTTACAGCTTGTAACAATTACAAAGGCTCCTTCCACACAGCTGTATAAAATCCACATTGAATTGGATTATATGGCAGTGTGGACTCAGATAACCCACTTCAAAGCAGATATTGTGGGATTTTCTGCCTTGATATTCTGGGATATAGGGCTGTGTGGAAGGGCCCTGAGGTTTGGAGGCCTTCCTTCATAAAGGGAAAGAGGCCATGATTCCAGAAGACATCCTTCATTCCCTTCATTAAATGACAAAGAGATGGGTTTGTTTCCCCACAAAAAACCTCCAGAATGATATGTATCTCAGCTCACACAGGGCCCTTCCACGCAGTCGTGAAATTCAAAATATCAAGGCAGAAAATCCCACAATATCTGCTTTGAAGTGGGTTATCTGAGTCCACACTGCTATATATTCCAATTCAAAGCAGATAATGTGGGATTTCATTCAACTGTGTAGAAAGGGCCCCAGTTCAAAGCAGATATTGTGGGATTTTCTGCCTTGATAGTCTGGGCTATATGGCTGTGTGGAAGGGCCCATACACATACCTATATACATAATAATAATAATAATCTTTATTTATACCCCGCCATCATCTCCCCGATGGGGACTCGGAGCGGCTTACATGAGGACAAGCCCAAATGACAAACATATAGGCTAAGTATCTCTTATCAGAAACATTGGATCACACGTCGGACACTTCCCAAGTGTTTGGGACTGTGTGATGTATCGGCGAATAATGCATGCAGATCCCAGTAAGGTGGCCTTCTGCAGCTGGCAGATGGTCATTTTGTCAGCACCGATTGTGTTTAAGTGCAGGCCAAGGTCTTTAGGCACTGCATCCAGTGTGCCCATCAACACTGGGACCACCTTGACTGGCTTGTGTCCAAGTCTTTGCAGTTCGATCTTTAAATCATTATATTGTGTCAGCTTTTCCAGTTGTTTCTCTTCAATCCTGCTGCTGCCTGGGATTGCAACATCGGCAATCCATACTTTGTTTGTATTGTCGAAGGCAATACACCTAGCTCCAGAAGACAAAGAGTTCTTTGTCCCACCCTGGTCTTTCCAGATATATAAGCCCATTTTCCTAGTTCCAACAGACCTCACTACCTCTGAGGATGCTTGCCATAGTTGCAGGCGAAACGTCAGGAGAGAATGCCTCTAGAACATGGCCATATAGCCCAAAAAAACCTACAACTCTTTGTTTTTAACACAATCGTGAGGTCAGGAGTATTATTAATTATTATTATTATATACTGAACCATCAGAAAACAACAGTGTGCCTCCTTTTTTTAACACTAAAAATATTCAAAATATATTCTCAGCCACTCGTGGGCCGTTTTGGATTTGGGAGTATTTCAAAATTCTTGCTAAGGGCTCAGTGCATTTTTCATTTTACTGAAGAACGGTGTGGTGAGAGTGTTGAGCTTTCAGACATTCTAGGTTTCCTTGCTCTGCTCCTTGTGTATTTCATTCAGAGGGAAGAAGTCTCCAGCTCTCTCGCCTCCTCTCTCCTCCTTCCTTTCTTGCCAGCTCAGCAGTTTCCCTGCAGCCTTCGCAAGCCAGAGAAGCCTCTGCCGCCGCCGCGCTGTGGTAAACAACTGCTGAGCTGTCAATCACGGACTAGACTCGAGCAGGAGAGGACCGGCCTAAACCGGTGCGAGCTGAGTTTGCTCCAGCCAGCCGCTCATATGCATACAGTATACATTCCACGCCCCGGCCGCCCTATTGGCTGAGCCGCTCGGGCGCTCAACCTAACGCGCTCGTCGTAGGCGTCATAGAGAGGGAGACTGAGCGGGGGAGGGAAGGGAAGGCGAGCAGAACAGCCGCTCCTTCCCCCCCAGCTTCCGGTTTGGGCAATTCCCTGAAAGCTGGCCAGAGGGAACGTGACAACAAGCACGGGCTTCTTGCCACGATATAATTAAATTAAAGGGAAGGGGGAAGAGGGGGGTAGAATATAAGGAAAGAAAGGCCATTATTTGGCTTACTGGAAAACTAGCACACACTGAAACCTCCAATTTCTCCAACACTGTCCACAGAAGTGGCTGAGAGAGTGACACCTTCCCTTTCTGACTGCCCAACACATACACACAATGTTTGAAATAATGTCAAACTCACTTTCATGCAAACAAAATGTAAAATTCAACTGGATTTTGTGATTAAGCTTGGCTCTTATTGCCACTGGCACAATGCTATGGAATCATCAGAGCTTATATCTCTGCCAAAGAGGGCTGGTGCTTCACCAAACTACAACTCATAGAATCAGAGTTGGAAGAGACCTCATGGGCCATCCAGTCCAACCCCCTGCCAAGGAGCAGGAATACTGCATTCAAATCACCCCTGACAGATGGCTGCAAGTTGCTTCTGGTTGCTTCAAAGTAGAGTCCACGACATGTGAGGGTGGAGAAGAGCAAACCACAGACCACCTACTACAATGCAGTCTGAGCCCTGCCACATGCTCAATGGAGGACCTTCTTATAGCAACACCAGAGGTACTCCAAGTGGCCAGCTACTGCTCAAAGGACATTTAGCATAACTTCAACTGGATTTTGTGTTTAAAGATTGGCGCTTATTGCCAGTGGCACAATGCTATGGAATCATTAGATCTTATATCTCTCTGCATCCATAGCATTGCCTCGTCAAACTACAACTTCCATGGTTGCTGCAAGTTGCTCCTGGTTGCTTCAAAGTGGAGTTCACGATATACGAGTGTGGAGAAGAGCAAACCACAGACCACCTACTACAATGCAGTCTGAGCCCTGCCACATGCACAATGGAGGGCCTTCTTATAGCAACATCAGAGGCACTCTAAGTGGCCAGCTACTGGTCAAATGACATTTAGCATAATGCCAAGTTTTTAAACTTTGTGGGGTTTTTTAAATACATTTGGTTTGCTTCTGATATGATAAATAAATAAGCTCCCAGACCACCTACTACAATGCAGCCTGGACCCTGCCACATGCACAATGGAGGGCCTTCTTATAGCTACACCAGAGGCATTCCCAAGTGGCCAGCTACTGGTCAAAGGACACTTAGCATAACGCCAATTTTTAAATACATTTGGTTTGCTTCTGATACGATAAATAAATAAGCTCCCATTGTTCCATAGCATTGTGCCATGGCAGTCACAGTGGAGTCAAACTGCATTAATTCTTGGCATGGGCAAACTTCGGCCCTCCAGGTGTTTTGGACTTCAACACCCACAATTCCAAACCGCCGATAGGCTGTTAGGAATTGTGGGAGTTGGAGTCCAAAACACCCGGAGGGGTGAAGTTTGCCCATGCCTGGTGTAGATGCAAGATACAACAAACTCTCAGTTAATTCATGGGGATTTGGTTGATACTGGATAAATGTCATTTCTGGCTACTTGAGTGATTATTAAAAATAGGCCTAACTAATACTATTTCCCAAACAAGACCATACCATAAATGCTGGATATCAATACTGAAATACAGTAATTAAAAGCAAATAAAGATCTAATTTAATGCAACAAAGGTTTAATATATTATACAAGCATTTTATTTTTTTCTTTAAAGTATTATTGCTTTGATTTTTTGCAGATGACTTGCGAGTTCCAGTTACTTGAGTTCTGCTTAACTTAAGAGTTCACTGTATACATACAAACACACACACACACACAATGGACTATATATATAATATATATATTATGCAGTTATTCCAAAATCTAAAATGCTTCTGGTGAAGGGATTCTGAAGCCTTTAATACATCAACGAGTCTTCTGATGTGAGCAGCAGGATGTGAAATTTTAAAGGCGTTGCTGCATAGACCTCATACATATATGTCATAGTTTGAAGCAAAACAATGATAAAGGCATTATATTGAAGGGCCCTAAGGCAGCCAAGCAGCAAAGACTGCTAACAGGAATGGGGTCAAACTTTGCATTGCAATCAAACTGGGGTAATGTGGTGGATGAACAACAAGAATGGTGTCAAACTGCATTATTTCTACAGTGTAAATACAGCCAAGGGGAAGCCCGCAATAGGAAACATGCAGCAAGCTCCACTCTTGAACTTGGAAGACTTGAGAACTGGGACCTTGGCTCTCCCTATCTCTTCCTCCTCCACCCCCTCCCCTCCCCATCCATCCACCTGCCAATCAAGGCCTGGCATTGCCTTAGCAACAGGCTAACAAACTCCAGCAAGCCAATGAGGGTGCAGGGGCGGGGCTTCAGGGAGCATGCTAGGCTGCAGGTTGCCTGCCTTGCCTTGCTTGCCTAGCTAAGTCATTGGGATCAGGAACACGGGCACAGGAAATGAATGAGCCAAGCCATTTATTTGGAGGTACAACTTCCAAGTCCTCCATGCATTCAAATAAGGGCTGCCTTATATCTAAGCCAGGGTGATTCTACACACTGTAGAACGAATGCAGCATGACACCCCTGGAACTGCCATGGCTCAGAGCTAAGGGATCCTGAGATTTGTAGTTTGGTGAGGCACCAGCACTCTTTGGCAGAGAAAGTGAAGAACCTTGAAAACTACAAGATGATTCCACAGCATTGAGCCATGGCACTTACAGTGGCAAAACCGCATTTGTTATAGATGCACACCCACTCACTTCACTCCCCTTGGCTTTTTGTTTGTTCCAAATCGAAGCACGCAAGGCTTACAACACAATTTAGGGCATTTTGCAGGTGCAAGACTCGCTTTGGCTTGTCCCCAATGTCCCGAAAAGGGGAAAAGTCGCCTCTTTTACTACTAACGCCTGTCTCCTACCAGGATTTTGGACATTGTCTTTTGCACCTTTTAGTTTCTGAATAAGTGCCTCTTGAAAATTGCAAATACCCGGGGAAGAATGTGCACTTTGAATAGCAAGATTAAAAAAAAAGCCATTTAATCTCAATGCAGACATTGCCTTCTTCCATCTTTTGGCAAAAAGGAAGCTGAAAAGACTTGCCTCGAAAGCAAGGGAATGGCTAATTTGCAACTTGCTTATTTTAACAAAAAAGGCTTCTATTAAATTCTCATATATGCATAAATATAAATATAAATAAATCTGCATAAATATAGATAAGTGTGTGTATATGTGTGTGAAAGGGAAAGAAATTATTTATAGAGAAAGGGGGATAGAGAAAAATGTGGTCTATATATATATCTACACATATGGAGAAGATATGTATATACATGTATATAAATATATGTTCATATATATGTGTGTGCGGATATATATCTCCTCTCTCTTTCTCTTGCTCTCTATATAAAAAGGGCAAGCCACAATTACATAACCGGTTTCCCCATTTTCTTGTGCTAGGAATTAAGTCATCGCCACCACCTGACACGCCTGCAGCCAATGGGCTTTGGAGGAGCAGGCGCAGCCCCCTCCCTTCTCCCCAGGACTGGTCCCAAACAGGATTGAACCGCTTTGAACAAAGGGTGGAAACTTCAGAAAAACAACCTTAGACTTCCACATTGGGTGCCATAGCAATCTACAGATTAAACAGTCAGAAGCATAAGGAACCCCTTTGGGGAGGTTTGTTCCATTTTTGACTCCCTTGGCTAACATCAGGCATCCTTTGCAGAGCTTTAGGGGGGAGCTTTCCATTGACTGCCCCAACTTAGAAAGGATGCTGTTAATAATGCAATTATTGATCATATTCAATGGGGGGGGGGGTCCCCCCTCCTTCACTTCAAAACCCAATTATCCATCCGCATTTGTAGGAAAAATATTCCGAAACAACGTTTTCCCCACAACTTTGTTGAGCTTAAAAGGGAATGCAAGAGGTACACGTGGGGTGCTGAAAGCAAGTGTCAAAACGCACCGCAGGGAACCTATTTCTCGCCCAGCAACCCTCTCCAAAGGACATCACCCACAGAAGCCCCATAAGTGATCTTAATAAGGCACCTTGATATAGAGGAAGGGAGGGGGTCACCATATAGGTACCTTGATATAGGGAGAAATAGTTTAAAAGCAGAGCATTAAGCGAAAATCCTCACCAACTGGATGCACAGGTGAAAGTATCCCTTTTGGAAAGACACTGGGAAATTAAAAAAAAAAAAGTCTTCCCTTTGCAGATGGTAATCAGGTGGTCTTTACAATCTATTTACTTTAGCATGCATCCTAAACTCATTTATTGGGGGAATTGGTGTTATAATATTCAATGGGTCCTATCTCAGATGCAAAATCAAGGCGTAATAAGAGAAAATCCTCACCAACTGAGTGTCCCTATTGGAAAATATAAAGAAGTCTTTTGCAGATGGGAACAAGATAGTCTTTTTAAGTGTTGTAGATTTAAATAGCTACATCCCAATCTCAAGTATTGGGGCGAATGGGTGCCATTGCACTCAAATGGATCCTATTTTCCAGTAACCATGTTTGGTTTTTTCAATACCTCCACATCCCAAGGCTATAAAGCTAAACTTGCTTGCTGGGGGAAAGAATGGGTGCCATTGCACTCAATAGGTCGCATTTTACAATAACTATGTTTTGTTTTTTAAATGCCTCTACATCTCAAGGTTTTAATGCTAAACTCACTTGCTGGGAAGAATGGGTGCCATTGCACTCAAATGGGTCCTATTTTCCAGGAATCATATTTGGTTTTTAAATGCCTCTACATCCCAAAGCTATAATGCTAAACTCACTCACTGGGTGCCATTGCTCTCAATTGGGTCCTATTTTACAGGAACCATGTTTGGTTTTTAAATATCTCCAAGGCTATAATGCTAAAGTCACTGACTGGGGGGAAGAATGGGTGCCATTGCTCTCAATTGGGTCCTATTTCTGAGTAACCCATCTTTTGGGTGAAAGTGTCCCTTTTTAGGAGAGACTGGAAAATATGAAGTCTTTCTTCCCTTTGCAGATGGTAATAATCACCACCCATTTAGGTCCAACTCTATTTAAATAGCTATGCACCCCAAGGTTATAATTCTGAAGTCGCTTAAATGGAGAGGAATGGTGTCAATGCACTCACTGGATGCAAATAGGGGCTAAGTCTTCCTAGGAATATAAAATACTTCTTTTTGCAGTGGATGATGGTCTTTGCAATCCATTTAGGTTGATTCGGTTTAAATAGCTATGCACCCCAAGGCTGCAACGCCAAACTCTTACTGGTCCTATTGCCCAGTAACCATCTTTGAAAACCAACCCAGAAAGCAACACGAAACAGAAGGGGAAAATAAATAAAATAATAATAATAAAAGAGAGGAATGAATGGGGAAAAGCCAGGCTCACCTCTTTCGTTCCCGATCAAGATATCCTTGTGGTTGAAATACTCGACTTCTTCCGTGTAGTTTTGCGTGTAGGCAGTGTTGGATCCCGCATTTCTCGACTCGGTCCAGCGGACTTTGGCGTGTCCCCTGGCGTGGATCTTTAAGGATTTCACCCGGATTTCCCCCGTGACTTCCAAATTCACCCTTCCTGAGACTGTGTCCCCGCTGGAATAGACGGGGACGTTGCTGTCATTCAGACAGTCGAAGCTGATGGTCAAACTCTTCACCTTCCCCAGCACCATGTTGAAAGTATTATTATTATTAATTTTTTGTTGATAGCAAAGTCTATAAAAATATATTCTTAGGGAAAAAAGGAAGGGAGAGTCAAGATCTCATATAGAAAAAAAAACGAGACTTTCCCCTTGACGCTGATCTGTATTGCTCTGCGAAAAACAGGCAGGACCAGCGTGGTTCTTCTCTAGGAGCGCTTCATTGGGGCTCCTGCAAAGGGACGCTGCAGCTCGGTTGGTCTCCTTACAAAGACGAAAGCCCAGCCGCTGCCAGCTCACTTTAAGGAGAGCTTTGTGAAAAACAAGCCCACTGCGCAGGCGCGGGCCTGCCTTGGCTCTCCCCCGCCTCCTCTCATGCTGAAGGTGTGTTGCAGAAGCAAGAGAGAGCCCGACTCGGCTGTTGCTGGAGAGCAACAAGACAGGCTGCTTCCTTGCTTGCTACCCCAACTTCTAGGATTTTTTTCCTTTTCCTCTTTTTGCATTCCCTTTTGCATTAAAACTTGCCCCGTACCTTGGGAAGTCTGACTTAGTCACAGTAGTCCACACTCTGGTTACATTCCCCCCCCCTCCCCGTATAGACTACTGCAACACTCTCTACATGGGGTTGCCTTTGCTGGAGAGCAACAAGACAGGCTGCTTCCTTGCTTGCTACCCCAACTTCTAGGATTTTTTTTCCCTTTTCCTCTTTTTGCATTCCCTTTTGCATTAAAACTTGCCCCGTACCTTGGGAAGTCTGACTTGGTCACAGTAGTCCACACTCTGGTTACATCCCCCCCCTCCCCGTATAGACTACTGCAACACTCTCTACATGGGGTTGCCTTTGAAGACTGTTTGGAAGCTTCAAATGGTCCAATGGGCAGGTTGTCTTCCCTGGAGACTAGGATACAGAACTATGGCTTCTAACTACAAGAATGGAGATTCCACCTGAACATGAGGAAGAATTTACTGACTGTGAGAGCCGTTCAGCAGTGGAACTCTCTGCCCCGGAGTGTGGCGGAGGCTCCTTTTTTGGAAGCTTTTAAACAGAGGCTGGATGGCCATCTGTCAGGGGTGCTTTGAATGCAATATTCCTGCTTCTTGGCAGGGGGTTGGACTGGATGACCCATGAGGTCTCTTCCAACTCTATGATTCTAGGAGCAGCGCTCAGGGAGCACACAACTCCTCTGTTGCACCAGCTCCACTGGCTGCCAGTCTGCTACTGAGCACAATTCAAAGTGCTGGCTTTAGCCTATAAAGCCCTAAACTAGGGGTTCTCAACCTTGGGTCCCCAGAAGTTTTTGGCCTTCAACTCCCAGAAAGCCTAACAGCTGATAAACCGGCTGGGATTTCTGGGAATTGTAGGCCAAAACATCTGGGGACCCCAGGTTGAGAACCACTGCCCTAAACGATTCTGGCTCAGCTTATCTGTCCAAACGTATCTCTCCTTATGAAACATCTAGGAATTTAAGATCTGGGGAGGCCCTGCTCTCAGTCTCGCCTTCTTCACAGATTCGGTTGGCGGGAACAAGAGACAAGGCCTTTTCAGCGGTGGCTCCTTGTCTGTGGAACGCCCTCACTAGGGACATTAGATCGCCCCCCCCTCTCTTAACATTTCGCAAAAAATCAAAACCTGGCTTTTTTCATCAGGCTTTCCCAAATGCTGTAGCAGACAAACCCTGATCTCGGAATGACTGGACAACCCGATTAGGTAATGATTTTGGTAATGAGATGCAGAGGATTATGTTTTTATGGGGTTTATTATTTACTGAATGTTATTGATGTTAAATGTTTTAATTGTTTTTATGTTATTGTGGGCATCGAATGGTGCCGTTTTTAAACTGCCCTGAGTTGCCCTCAGGCTGAGAATGGCGGTATATAAATATAGTAAATAAATAAATAATAAATAACATCCTCAGCAGAAAGAGCACTGCTTGCAAAAGGCATACTCTTCTCAGCTCTCATGGCTCAAGTGCAGTATGTGTGAAAAAGATCTTGGAGTCCTCATAGACAACAAGTTAAACGTGAGCCAACAATGTGAGGCAGCAGCAAAAAAAGCCAATGGGATTTTGGCCTGCATCAACAGGAATATAGTGTCTAGATCCAAGGACGTCATGTTATCCCTCTACTCTGCCTTGATCAGACCACACGTGGACCATTGTGTCCAATTCTGGACACCAGAATTGAAGAGAGATATCGACAAGCTGGAATGTGTCCAGAGGAGGGCGACTAAAATGATCAAGGGTCTGGAGAACAAGCCCTATGAGGAGCGGCTTAAGGGGCTGGGCATGTTTAGCCCGAAGAAGACAAGGCTGAGAGGAGACATGATAGCCATGTATAAATATGTAAGAGAAAGTCATGGGGAGGAGGGAGCGAACTTGATTTCTGCTGCCCTGGAGACTAGGATGTGGAACAATGGCTTCAAACTACAAAAAAGGAGATTCCATCTGAACATTAGGATGAACTTCCTGTGTGTGAGAGCTGTTYAACAGTGGAACTCTCTGCCCCAGAGTATGGTAGAGGCTCCTTCTTTGGAAGTTTTTAAAGATTCTATGAAAGGCATACCTCTAGCCCAGTGTTTCTCAACCTAGGGGTCATGACCCCTGGGGGGGGGGAGATTGCRAAGGGGGTTTCAGAGGAGTCACTAAAGATAATCAGAAAACATATATTTCTGATGGTCTTAGGAACCCTTTTGGGAGAGAAGGCTGGAGATTTCTCCACCTGTCCTTATCTTCCTTTTTGGTGTTGGTGAACTACAACTCCCAGAATTCAAAAACAGCCTCTCCCCCCCCCCCCCATCCCCACAGTATTCAATGTTAGCATGTAGGTAGTGTGCCAAGTTTGGTGCAGATACATTGTGGCAGCGTTCAGAGTGCTCTTTGATTGTAGGTGAACTATAAATCCCAGCAACTACAATTCCCAAATGCCAAGGTCTATTTTCCCCAAATTCCGCCAGTGTTGACATTTGGGCATATTGAATATTTGTGCCAAGTTTGGTCCATATCCATCATTGTTTAGAGTTCACAGTGCTCTCTGGATGTAGGTGAACTACAACTCCAACACTCAAGGTCAGTGCCCACCAAACCCTTCCAGTATTTTCTGTTGATCATGGGAGTTTTGTTTGCCAAAATTGGTTCAGTTCCATCATTGGTGGAGTTCAGAATGCTCTTTGATTGTAGGTTAATTATAAGTCCCAGCAACTACAACTCCCAAATGACAAAATCAATCCCCGCACAACTCCAGTTGGGCATTTGTGCAAAATTTGGTCCAGTGAATGAAAAATCATCCTGTATATCAGATATTTATATTACAATTCATAACAGTAGCAAAATTACAGTTATGAAGTAGCAACAAAAATAATTTTATGGTTGGGGGTTACCACAACTTGAGGAACTGTACTAAGGGGTCGCACCATTAGGAAGGTTGAGAACTACTGCTTTAGCCCAAACAAAGCTGAAATGGAGTTTGAAAGGAAGGCTTGTTAAGGGCTGTCCTTGTCTTTAAAAAATATTTTTTATTAGATTTTCAGAAATCTCATTTAAACCCAACAAATTAAATGCACACACATACACACATACCAAAGACGCATCAACACTGTAGAATTAATCCACTTTGTTCCCATCCAAACTGCCATGGCTCAATGCTATGAAATTCTAGGATTTGTAGATTAGTGACACACTGGGCAGAGAAGGTTCAAGCCCTTGTAAAACTACAACTCTTAGGTGTCCTTAGCATTGAGCAGTTAAAGTGGGGTCAAACTACATTAATTTTACAATGTAGATGCAACTCTTACTGCTATAGCTCAGTGATATGGAATCTGGGTTTTGTAGACTGATGGTAAAAATGGTTTTAAACAGTGTATTTTAATATTGAGACAAATGTTTTTAATGTTTATGTATGCATATAATGAATTCTTGTCCCGGCATTGAATGCTTGCTGTATATATGCTGTGCTCTGCTCTGAATCCCCTTCGGGGTGAGAAGCGTGGAATATAAATTTTTAAAATAAATAAATAAATAAAGTAAAGGTTTCCCCTGACATTAAGTCCAGTCGTGTCCAACTCTGGGGGTTGGTGCTCATCTCCATTTCTGTGTCGAAGAGCTGGCATTGTCCATAGACACCTCCAATGTTATGTGGCCGGTATGACTGCATGGAGCACCGTTACTTTCCCGCTGGAGTGGTACTTATTGATCTACTCACATTTGGATGTTTTCAAATCGCTAGGTTGGCAGAAGCTGAGGCTGACAGCGGGAGCTCACCCCGCTTCCCGTATTTGAACCTGCGACCTTTCTGTTAGCAATTTCAGCAGCGCTGTGCTTTAACTCACTGTATCACTGCAGACTAAATACCTCTTTGGCAGAGGAGGCTCAAGGCCTTGTAAAACTACAACTTCCATACTTCCATAACATTGAGCCATGGAAGTTAAAGTGGTGTCAAACTGCATTCATTCTACATCATAAGATAAATAGAAGAGTCAAAATAACCCTGTAGCATTCCCAACCAATTATCACAGAATCATAGAGTTGGAAGAGACCTTGTGGGCCATCCAGTCCAACCCCCTACCAAGAAGCAGGAAAATTTCATTCAAAGCACCCCAGACAGATGGCCATCCAGCCTCTTCTTAAAAGCACCCAAAGAAGGAGCCTCCACCACAGTCCAGGGCAGAGAGTTCCACTGCTGAACAGTTTGGACAGTTAAGAAGTTCTTCCTAATGTTCAGGTGGAATCTCTTTTCCCTGCCCCCAACTAAAACTAACAAATAAACTCCATGAAAGTTACTAACTATCCTTGATTTTATTGGTATTATGAGCTTCCAGACCTAGACTGCAATATTATTGGATGTGCCAAAAGGAGGAAGGTTCTTCAGACCATCAGAACAGTTTTATCACATTTGCTGTAAAATAATCCAAACCTTACAGGATTTGTGTTTTCAATATTGCGAGTTATCCTCTGCATTGATGGTTGGTGCCCCAGAGGGTAGAGTTGCTTATTGTAAGTGAAGCCAATGGGACGTCAAGTCACAATAGTTAGAGCTAATGATAGAGTAAAGTGTCACAATAGGTGGAGACAATGATAGGTGGAGCTAAGTGTCACAATGGATAAATATGAGAATCACAGTTGGTTGTTGTATGCTTTCAAGTCATTTCTGACTGATAGAGACTCCAATATGGACCTAATATTGGGGGGGGGGGGGGGGTTCTTAGCAGAACTGGTTCAGAGGGGGTTCCTTCCCTTCCTCTGAGGCTCAAGGTCATCTAGTGGGTTTCTATGGTCAAGTGGGGATTCGAATCCTGGTCCAACACTCAAACCACTACAC